GAGCCGTGAACGTGGATCTCCTCCGTAGCAGAGCGGCCCAGATAGCCTGGGACGATGAAGTAGCCAGTACCGAAGTGCTATGGGTAGTAATTAGGAAACTGCTGCACATACTTCAAGACAAATTTGCGCCGCTGAAACCCAGACGGTGCCCAACGAAACAGATCTGGTAACGAGCTGCGATAGACAAGACCATCAGGAGTAAAAACCAAAGTTGGCGCTTGTACAAAATCTCTGGGAGCCGCCTGGCTTGGATGAGCTACACAGCCCTCAGGACAGCAGCGGTCGACGTGGTGCGAAGATCAAAACGCAACTATGAGTTTACGCTTGCCAAACGCGCCAAGGATAATCCTAAGAAACATTACGGGTAATCCATAGGGACACTGAGGTCGCTGAAGACCGGAGGGCAATCCGTTGCTGCAGACGACAACAACAAAGAGAACATACTAAGTCGTTACTTTAGCAGTGTTCATCGTACGGACAACGGTGTGTCCGCATCCTGGGACCCGGAAACTCCTTCGGTAGTTATAGACGATTTGCTTCTGACGGAGGACATGGTTAGGAACCATCCAGAGAGCTTAAATATGAAAAAGTCGGCTGGTCCCGACGGCATTCAGCCGGCCATTATGAAACCATTGGCGGGCATCTTAGCTCGACCAATGCGTCAGCTATTTAGGCTAAGCTTAGGAAAAGGCATCCTACCACGGGACTGGAAAACAGCCACCGTGGTAGCCATAAATAAAGGAGGGTCCAGGTCAGAAGTAAGCAACTACAGGCAGGTAAGCCTGACTAGCGTTCTTTGCAAGGTGCTGGAAAGGATCATCAGGGCCCATATCTGTAAGCACTTATTAGATCATTCTACGCTGTGCCCTGCTCAGCATGGGTCTCTGAAAAGCAGGTCGTGTCTCATTAATCTCTTGTGCTTCCTAGATGAAGTAATTCGCAGGTTGGATGAAGGCAAAAGTAGAGAGGTATGCTACCTTGACTTCAGTAAAGAGTTCGACTTTGTGAATCACCGCATACTGTTGATCAAGTTGAAAACCGTCGGCATAGAGGGGCGGATATAAAGCTGGATTTCTGACCTCCTAAGTGAGTGATCTTTCTACGTGAGAGTAGGTAGTTCCAGTTCCAGCCTGAGAAATATCACCAGTGGAGTACCTCAGGGTTCCGTACTGAGACCCATCTTATTATTACTGTTTATAAATGACCTAGCCGTAACGCTCCAGTCACCTAGCTTCTTCTTCGGGGGCAATGTAAAAGTCCTAGGATCAGAGGGGCGAGAGGATCTGGTCAGGGGTATTTCAGCAATCCTAAGCTGGGCCTTTAAGTGGGACTTGCTAATGAACGCTGGCAAAAGCCAACTGCTTTCACTAGCCGTAGAGGGTATCACAGTTGGCCACGAGGTAGATCCCTTCACTATGAAAGCGGCGAAAAATGTAAAAAACCTAGGAGTCTTCGTAACCGCTGATCTTAGGTGATCGGATTAATGTGCCAGCGTGGCATAGAAAGCTAGGGGTGAATTATCTAGACTAAGTTCAGAGTTGTCCTGTCGTAAACCTGTTGTATTCATACCTCTGTATAAGGCCATAGTCAGGCCCCACCTAGAGTATTGTGCCCATTCATGGTCACAACTATTCAAAAAGGATGTCACCTGATTAGAGCGGGTTCAACGGCTGGTAACAAAAATGGTTAAGGGGCAGCGTGGCAAAGAATACGAGCAAAGGCTTCAGAACCTGGGACTATTCTCTTTCGAAAAGGGAAGGCTTAGGGAAGATATGATAGGAACCTTTAAGATGATGGAAGGCTTATCTGATAATATACCAGAAACTGCGTTCCAGGAAGAGCTCGATTCCCGTACAAGGGGCACCAAATGAAGCTAGCCAAGGACCGGTCCCGATTGATCGCCCGGTCACACTTCCTTGGTAACAGGGTAGCCAAAATTTGGAACAGATTACCTATGAAGCTAGTAGAACTGCAGACCGTGCTAGCATTCAAGACGGCCCTGAGCGAGAGGTGGTCTGAAACTGTTCCGNGTTCCGAAGTAACACTGCACGCTCGTTTGGTCGTGGTCATTTTCTGTCCCGGGGAAAATAAACTAAACTAAACTGAGCTGAACCCCAGCAAACAATGATAATCCGGGTTTGTATGACGAACTAACATGTCACAGTTTGCCAAAATTGCCATATGTGAAACAAATGTACATCGAGAACTCCAGACGCTCAACCAGCACAGGTCAGTAAGTCCGGATGGAATCTCTCCAACCAGTCGCTGGCCAGGGTACTAACCGGGCTGCTGACTGTACTTTTTAGGGAATCAGTGTAAACTGATACGCTACCCTAGGACTGGCCTACAGCTACCGTAGTACCATTGCACAAGGCTAGACCGAAACACAAAGCAGAAAACTATAGACCCGTTAGCCTAACGTCAGTGCTGTGTAAGTGAGCGGAGCGACTGCTCAGAAGGCAGCTTCGCCTACACCTGACTAGCAATCGATTCCTGACACTTGCACAACATGACTTTGTGCAAAGGAGATCATGACTTACGAATCTGCTTGTGTTTCCAGATGAAGTCACTCAAATTATTGATGAGGAGAAAAATGTAGAAGTCTACTACTTCGAATTAAGTAAAACATTTGACTCTGTCAGCCATCGATTGTTGGACTTCAAAGTTCGGAGCCTAGGCATAACAGGTAAAGCCAGGGACTGGATTGTAGCCTTTTTGAGTAATCGCACCTTCCGAGTCAAGTTGGGTGACTGCATTTCTAACCATGAGATGGGTACAAGTGTGGTTCTCCAGGGCTCAGTGCTAGGCTCCTTACCTTTCTCATATTCATCAACGATCTGGCACAGGATCTTCAAAATCCGTGTATCATGTATGCTGATGATGGTAAAATGACAGAGTTAAAACTGCTAAGGTACTTAGATGTAGTCCATCAATGGTCGATCAAGTGGGATGTACCATCGAATCGAAGCGAGTGCTGGCTCTTAGCAACGAGAGGTGGGGTATACTCGTCCAATGGAGCTCCCATGCAGTAGGTCACCCAGATGAAGGATCTAGGGGTTCTAATGACCTAATATTTTAAACCCACAACTCAGTGCTTAATGACTGCCAGTTAGGCTAGGGGGCAGCTGTTCAGGTTGCATGCCACAGTGATATACAGACGGCCTGAGGTTTTTGTCCCACTGTATAAATCGATTGTTTGCCCACACATGGAGTGTTGTGTGCAGGCATGGGCACCGCAATGCAGGAGGGTGTACCATGTTTAGAAAAAGTGCAATGTCTAGTTACCCGAATGGTCACTGTGCGAAAGGTGGAAAGCTATGAGCAGCGGTTGAGAGATCTTTATCTCTCTTCGCTAGAGCGTAGACGAGTTAGGAGAGATCCGATAGAGACTTTAAAAATTGTAAGAGGTCTTTCGAGACTCAACCCAGATGGCTTGTTTACGATTGATCGTGCTCACAACACGAGAGGTCATTGCTATAAACTTCAACAAAACCACACCAGTTAAGAACCACGGGCCAACTTCTTCGGAGACAGAGTCATTACTGTGTGGAACAGGTTACCGCAGAAGTGGTCAATTGCACCAATGTCAGCGCCTTCAATTTGGCCCTGGGCGCACGTTGGTCAGTAGCTTTTCCTGAAGTTATTATTTAGAGTGAAAACATCAAGAGTAAACTCCACTTTAGCCGAAATTTCGTGAAATGGAGTAAACTTGGGATTGAGTGTTGGAATTATTCTCAAACTAACTGTCGCATGTCATTTGTGTATACGAACGCGTGTGTACTTGAGATTTCTCTTTGATGAGGCGAGGAGATATCCTTGCTTATTTTCCTCCCTTCCAACATACCCCCAGCGAGTCAACGTTTTGGAAACGGGGCTAAATTGAGAGGATCACAAATACCTAATTAACTGTACGCAGTGTTGGAAGTTACTCCCATCCGTTGACAACACAACTACTAAAGCCGAGTGCCGGTAGCACACCGCAGAGAAGGCCCGGGTAAACCTCTGCCTCAGACGAAAAGCTCACAGAAGCACACTATAGCTCCGGGCTACGCACCCGAGTCAACCCACAGCTACCCGCCTAAAACGCAAGCCCAGGCTAGAAACGCCTGGTATATCCCGTAACCCCCCCCCCCTCTAATGCAAAAAACGGAGG